GAGCTAGAGAAAACCTTGGGATAGAGCTTTACTGACTAACCCTAGTTCTTATCAGAGGCAGAATAATTGCCAGGACTGTCCCTTTTTCTGGTCCTACACTAAATATGGTCTGAATACCAGAACTTATCCATGCAGGAACAGAATAGTCCCTCAACTGAGTAGAATGAACCTTTCCACTGGACACTAACAGAATGCAAGAGGAGGGGCCATCTCTCAAGGGAGCTGGAAGCCCAGCTTCCAGATGAAGGATGCTCAAGGTTTTCAGTAAGCATTTTCCCTTCCCACCCCAGGTCTCAGGCAACAATGATAAGGAAGGACAGCTCTGGTCAATCCTCCAAGTCTTAAGTAATGCAGAAATGGTGATATGGGTTCCCAAAACATACATGTCCCAAAGAAACTCAGAGCTTATCTGATCTAAAACTAAACAGCCAAGTCAAGCACTATATTTAGCTTGACACTGGAAAGACTTTAGACTTACTATAGGCTTCTGAATTCTGGCACCCTAGTTGCTGATTTTATGAATTCTGTGTCATTTTATGAATACTTTTTTTTTTTTTTAATTTTACTCTCCAGCCCACTGAGGGACAAGATTATCTGTGGTTGTCTTTGGGCATTACCTCATGTAGCTCTCTGTTTTTAAGTTGTTCTTTTTACTTATGTACTATGAAAAGAGAATATTGACTTTGTTAAACCATCTTTTAAAAGAAAAATAGATCAACACTAAATCAGCCCTACCTGAAAACAAGGGAATTTCTCTTTATTTTTCTAGGAGTTAATTTTTTAGATATGTGGCCATCACTTAAGTGAAGCGATGGTACATGTGATAGCAATTTTCTTTCCAAGTTAACATAAATTGCTGCAAAATTGAGTCTTCAAATAGAAGAAGTGCCGTAATTACCTCCAGTTTTCACTAGTCTTGGTTACTCTTTCAAGCAGAGCAGATGTAAATTTTCTTAACCTGAACATTATATTACAAATATCTACAAAGCAGGAAATAAGCCAAAGAAGTTCCTGAGCTATCAGGAACATAGCTAGTACAAAGGTTTTTGTATTCTTATAGTAGGGGTCATTCAGGTAATTAAATAAGTTGTTTTGAATTGTGCATAAAAGTTTGCTAGATTAGCAAAATATTTTATCTGATTTTTGAAAGTATTTATACTCAATAAGAAGGAAGAAAGATAAGAAAAAGCTGTTTAATTTATACCAAAAAATGAAGCTAATCTTCTCGATTTATTGATTGTACATATGAAGTACAGATGCAGATATAGATTCAGATATATAAATGTATAGATACTTAAGAGGAAACCAGCACAGAAAGAATATAACAGCATTCTATTGCAGTTAGAGTCATAGTTTCTAAACCTCTGAGAAGTGGGGAGAAAATCTTAAATTTTCCATTGCTTAGTCTTCACAGTATAAAATTTTAGAAAATTAAAATACTTCCAAACATTTCTTGTTTTTCACCAAACTTTTTATTTGTCTGATTTAGTACAAGAAAATGTAACTTCTGAGAACAGATGAGTATGTATTAACGGACAGGCTTCTCCACCCTTCATAGATGAGTTTATTTCTGAATTTGGCCGGTGTGGGAAATGGTTCCACTTCATGCAAACACTGCTGAAGAGAAAAGGCTGAAGAAGGAGAAAAAGAGGAGACTGAGGCTATGCTGTACCAATACCTTGGCAGAGCACAGCAGAGGAATGTCTGGCAGGATCCAGGCTACATGCCCAGCTCAACACCTTGAAGATGCTTTGAAAGGATTTTCCCAATGCCCATGCCCAAGAGGGGTCCTCAAATACATAATATTTGCCATTAGCACAATTTGCTAAGAGAACAGAAAAAAAAGTCTAACAAAGCCACAAAATATTGGTTCTCTTTTTCTGAAATAAAGAATTTTAGCTGAGAAAAAAAACTCTTTAAAAAAGGCTCTTGTTTCCAATATTATAAAGTACTCTTCTCTAAAATGTTCATAAATCTTTAAACTAATCCAATCATCTAAATTTTCTTTTCATTTTCATTTACTTTTATTTGATATGTTCTTCAAACTTATTCAATATAAAACTTCATAAGCTTCTGAGTTCACATTTTTTTATATACATAAAGCTTTCCCAAGCTTTTCTAAATTTCTCCCCATTTTACTACTACAAATTTGTCAGTTGTAGACACCATGCTACAACTGACATAGGCTTGGATTTTCTCAGCACATTCATGAATGAGGGGAACTCCTTGTGTGAGTGGGTGGAGGTGAGTCCCTGCTCAGAGCAAGCCCTGGGCTGTCAGTGCTCCAACCCTCCATGGTCTGCTTCTGCTGCCCTGAGCGACCCTGCGCTCTTCCCCCGGCTCTCTCCCAGCTGTAGCATGTCCACCACTGTGGCCCTGTAGCGCTGAAGCTTGCTGCCTTACCTCTTTGTCTTGGCTATTCTTGTTTGAGTCCCTGGGCTTTCCATGGGCGCGCTGTCTGCTGTTGGCTTCTCTGCTGTTGCTGCTATGATGGCCTTGCACTTTCCCCTGTGCCTCACCCAGAACTTGTAGCCCCCGCACCTTAGGCCATGTGGTTTCAATCAGAGCAGTGCTTCAGTAGGCTTTCGCTGTCTGCTGTTGGCTTCTCTGCTATTGCTGCTATGGTGGCCTTGCACTTTCCCCTGTGCCTCACCTAGAACTTGTAGCCCCTGCACTTTAGGCCATGTGGCTTCAATCAGAGCAGTGCTTCAGTAGGCTGTCAAAAGACAGCATCTCCAGTCTAAGTGTGTGTAATGAGATGGAGGCAGGAGTGGTGAAATGAGAGCACTGGATCTGAGTTGACACTCTTCTGTGGCCTAGGACAGTCACTGAAAGACAGAATTCTCTCCTGCACAGCCAGAGAGGACTGGCAGGATGTAGTGCCCCCACTGCATGTAAATTCTCCCTCGGTTGACTGATCACCACACTGAAAACTTTAGGAAAAATCCTTGTGGTTAACAGCAGAGGCTTCAGAGTGTAATCTATACTCGGGCCTTGAAATTATATGTCTCAAGGTGAACTCATCCATCCAAGGCACTCCCAGTCATAGTGGGAGCTCAGCTGATCCACCCGGACAAGATAGGTGAGGTAGAAGACAGCACCATGCAGATTCATCAACCTGTGAATTATACCTGGGAAACTGCCCAAAAGCAAGCTTGCTGAAAGTAAGGAAGGAAATAATGAAAATAAGGATTGTGTGGCATAGGTAGTAAATATCTCTCCTTGTTCACAGTTTGGACCACCTCAGCAGAGACAATTCTTTCATTTTTCATTAAGAACTTTTTGTTTTGGGGCTGGGGTTATACTTCAATGGTATAGCACTTGCCTAGCATGTATGAGGCACTGGGTTCAATCCTCAGCACCACCTTAAAAAATAATATAGGTATTGTGTCCATCTTCAAATAAAAAAATAATATTTATTTTTGTTTTTGTTGTATATGTTGATTCATTCATGTTACATATATATAAAGATATTTTGTTATCATTTTTCTCTTTTTATTACCTTTTACTATTTTGTTTTGTTTTAGGGTGTTTTTCTTTTTTGTTTTTTTGTTAATTTTCTCAGCTTCTCCCGGTAATAGTTAAATTCTCTTGTTCTCTATCAACCTGTCAATCTACTTTGTTGCAGTTTTAAAATTTTGTTATTTTCTCCATTCATTATGGCCTTCACTTTATTCTACCTCTCTTCTACTTTAACTGTTTCACCTTTGGAATATTTTAACCATTCTTTTGACTTCCTTTCTCATTTTCTTCCTTCTTAATGAACTGTATTTTTGCCATCTTTTAAAACTAGTTTATATAATTTTTGCTCCCACCATTCATGTTTTAGAAGTTATTAGTACTGTGGATGTTGTAGCTGACATTCAATGTTTACTTTAATTCTAAATCTAGTTCTCTGCTGCTTATGTTGGTGTTTTCATTTCTGATTATTAGTATTGTAGATATCATAATTGACACCTAGTATTTACTTGAATATTGTAGATTCTTCCCTGTTATTGTTGCTGTTCTTCATTTACCCTTTTCCATAGTGGCTGGGCACCAAATGTGACACTTTAAATTGTTGGGAAATATGCTCTGCCCCTGAGTTATATCCCCAATCCAGCTAAGAGATTGTGTACCTAATTCCACACATAACAACTATTCTTAACCTTCAGCAATAATTTAACACAAAGAATATTGGGACCCCCAAACTGGCAACCATGGCCTAAGTAAAAGAGAGAAGGCTCAACTTACTCATGGACATATGCTTCTACAGCAACAGCAGAGAGAAATAACACAATGACCTCAACATAGGTTACTCTTATACACTCTTAGATTATACAGAGTTGCCATATCTAGAAGATCAATCATGGGTGGTATGTATATACAGTGATATAGGCAACACAACTGTCAATCTACTAGAAAGATCCTGTGAAATCTACAGAGAAAATGGAATCCTCAAGCTCTGATATACTACAAAACTTGGAATGATCGCTTTGATCACTAATCACAACCCCAAAAATTAGTATATTAAATATACTACAAAAAACACTGGGAAATATATTCAACAATTCACAACAACATGATATACCAGAACACTTTGCCAAGAGAAGGTTGTTTCCTAAGAATACCCTCACATAAAAGTGGAAAAGAGGTGGCTGGAGTTGTGGCTCAGGATTAGAGGACTTGCCTAGCATGTGTGAGGTCCTGGGTTTGATTCTCAGCACCAATATAAAATAAAGTGAAGGTACATCTACAGCTAAAAAAAAATTAAAAATTGAAAAAGAAACCCATCTCAACAGACATGCAAATCTCAACATAAGAATATAAGTGATACAGAAAAATAATGTAATAAGACACCTCTTAACGTGTGTAATTCATCAACAACAGACTTAAAATATATTCAAATATTGGACACAAAATTTTTAAAAAAATTATCATTTAAAAAATATAGGATTCTCAGATGATACAAAAAAAATAAATTAAGAAAGTCAGTAGAGGATATAAATGCTAAATTCAATGAAGAGATAGAGATATTGAAAAATAACTACACAGAAATCCTTGAAATGATAATTACATCAAAAATTGAATTGGATATGTTTCCAATACATTAGATTAAGTAGAGGACAGAATTTTAAAGATTAAAGATAAGGTGGACATCCTTGAACATTCAGACAGTATTAAAGAAAAAAAGTAAGAAACTACAAATCTAATAAGAATTGAGAAAACATTAAGAGACCAAACAATGCTCAGAGACATTAAAGAAGGATCAGGATTACAGGATCATGGCAGTGACATAATGGCAGAAAAATTCCTGCAGATTTAGGAATAAGATGAACATCCTGACACTGGAAACATTTAGAACCTCAAATAGACCAGAACAGGAAAAAAAAAAAAAACAAAAAAACAAAAAAAACCTTCTTCACATCCTATTAAAATTGCAAAGCCAAAATTTCAGTTCAAAGAAAGAATTTTTAAAGCTACTGAAATTTTAAAAGCCAGGTCACATTTAGAGAAAAACCAATCAGATTAATATCCAATTTCTAACCCTAATGTCCAAGAGGGCTTGGAACAATGTATTTCAAATCCTGAAAGAAAATAACAGCCAACCAAGATCATTCTATCGAATAAACCATCAGAATTGTACTATCAGAATAAAAGAAAAAATAAAAACCTATCGAGATGAGCATAAATGAAAGAAATCCATTATTACTATTCCAGCATTGCAGCAAACACTCAGAAGAATTCTACAAATAGAAGAAGATTATAAACCACCAAGAGATCTTAAAAAAATGAATTACATTACAACTGGGGGTGAACATATACCAATCAGGATAGAAGCAAACATTAAATTTAAAAAAAAATAGATGAGAAGTAACACGTTCCTCTCTAATGACACTGAATATAAATTGTCTAATTTTTCCAAATAATAAACATAGATCATAATATTGGACAAAAAAATTAAGACCCAATTATTGTTGTCTGAAAGAAATATATCTATGGTCAAAGATATCCACAGGCTAAAAGAATTAAAAAATGACATTTCATGTAAATGAAACTTGAAACCATGCAGGAATACATATTAATACCCAACAACGCAGATTCAAGCAAAATTAGAGGAGAAGTACAGATCACCATATCTTGGTAAGGGGAATAATCCAAAAAGAAAATATAAAGATAGAAAACATTTATGCCCCAAATATTGGTGCACCTGATTACATAAACACAATGCAACATAAAGGTTCATAAAGGGACCAAAATAATAATAGCAAGTGATTGAAATATACCTCTGAGAGATCATCCACACACAAATCAACCAAGATATTACAGAGTTAAACTGTAAATCAAATGAATTTAACAGGTATTACAGAGTATTTCATTCAACACAGCTGAATCCCCTTTTTTCAGTTTTCTCCAAAATAGATAATATTTTAGTCAACAAAGTAATCATTAGCAAATATGAAAAAGGTGAAATACTTCCACATATCCTGTTTCAATGATAATGGAATAAAATTAAAAATCAAGAAGAAAACCACATATTCAAAGACATGGAGATTAAACAATACACCAAAAAAAAAAAAATCAAGAAGAAAACCACATATTCAGAGACATGGAGATTAAAAAATACACATTTTAATTATGAGTGGATCATCAAAAAAATCTGACAAAAAACTAAAAAATTCTAAGACTCAACAAAATTAGAAATACAACATACAAGGGCCAAAAAGCTGCTGCAGCAGCCACTGTTTAAAATCTGGTGTCTCTGGGGGCGGAGGGATCTGCTGGAGGATGGAAACCAGAGAAAGCCTCCTGGCCTCAGCATATCCCAGTGCTCAATCCCTCTCTTCAGATGCACAGCATCCTCCATGGGAGTGCATTTAGCTGATACTGTGGTTTCCAGATGCGGAGGTCCTGGGTTCCAGGTAGCAATGAAAGGATAGCAGTGCCCTGCTGCTGAGCTCCTTCCTGCCCCCTGTCTGCCTAGGCACAAAGGAGTGTCAGAGGAAGGCCTTGCAGTGTGCCTGCCTCTATGCCTCACAGCCTCCCACCCAAGGGTCACTGCCTAGGGGCACCTGCTACCCAAGCTTTTGCACTACTAGCTGTGCAGGGGTGCCTGCAGGTGCCACCTGCCACCCTGAGGCAACCACCCTCCACTCAAGCTGACACTGCTGGTGTTCCTGGCCATGCTGCTGATGGTCCTGTTGCTGCTGATGTGCAGAACTAGCCTTAAGGCCATAAGCAACAAATCCCGTGCCAACATTGTACAGAATATAGAAAGCCTGAAAGCATTTCCTCTAAAATCAAGATCAAGTCAATGATGTCCACTCTCACCACTCCTGTTCAATATAGTCTTTGAAACTCTAGCCACAGAAATTAGATAAGAAAGGGAAATAAAGGGGATTCAAATAGAAAAGTCAAACTGTCTCTGTTTGCAGATGATATTATCCTGAACTTAGATGATCCAAAAAGCTCCACCAGTACACTTCTAACAAAGTCAGCAATGTAGCAGAATACAAAATCAACATATAGAAATCAATCACTTTCCTCTACACTACTGATGTATCTGTTGAGAAAGAAATTAGGGGAAAAAATCATTAACAGTAGCTTCCAAGAACATAAAACAGCAACAAATTTAACCAAAAAGGTGAAAGACTTCTATAAGGAAAATTTACAAAACATGGAAAAAATAAGTTGAGAAAGACACCAAAAGATGGAAAGACCACAAATGTTCATGGTAGGGAGATTTAATATTGTTAAAATGACCATACAACCAAAATCAATCTGCAGATCCAATGTAATTTACATGAAAATACCAAAGATATTCTTTTCAAAACCAGAAAAACAAATCCAAAGATTTATACAGAAGAACAAAAGACCCTGGATTGTCAAAACAAATCTGAGTAAAAAGATTAAAGCTGGAGGTATCACAATGCCTGACTTTAAATTATACTACAGAGTCACAGTAATGAAATCAGCTTGGTACCAGCATACATATAGATATGCTGATCAATGGAACAGAATGAAGACACAGAAACAAACCCACAAAGGTGCCAAAAAGTTACACTAGAAACAAGACAGCCTCCTTAACAAGTGATGCTGGGAAAATAGGATACTATAAGATTAAAAATAGATACCTATCTATCACTCTGTAACAAAAGTCAACTCAGTTGGACCAAAGACCTGGGAAAAGAGCTTAAACTTTGCAACTGATAGGATAGAAAAAAGGAATAGCTCCAACATATAAGTACAGATAATAACTTACTTAATAGGACATCTCCAACTCAGTAAATATTAAGGACTTCTCCAAAAAACGCATTCCATAAATGGGCAAAGAAGTTAAACAGACATTTCTTAAAAGAAGAAGTACAAACAGCCAAAAATTATTTAAAAAATGTTTGACAACTAGAGTCATTAGGATAATGGAAATCAAAACTACACTGAGATTTCATCTCACTCCACTTAAACTGACAGCCATTAAAAATACAAATAACAATAAATGCTGGCTCAATGGGGTGGGGGAGAGAACCATCCAAATCATTTGTAGGTATCTATATTAGTACAGCTAATATGGAAATCATTATGGAGATTCCCCCCAAGACTAGGATTGGATCCTGTAAAGGAACACCTATGTGGGGAGAATTGTGGAAGAGTCGCACAAACGACAGAGACAGACACACAGGGAAGGGTACAAACAGACAGAAGGATGGCAACAAAGGAATGCCTACCCCTCTCTGCCATCATCTTTAATAACCCAAAAAGTTACATATTACCAGTGATTACACTTTGACCAGTATTCCTTTAACCCTGAGTGCTAGCTAACTAAGATAAGGTCCAGGTTAATGCAAACACATAGCCTCTCTCCTTCAAAGGATGTCACTATGTAAACCAGGTATGCATCCACATAGTTATCTTAATAACCTCAGCAGGGAATAGCTGGGCATTCCAATCATGGGAATCAGTTACCTCCTGGGAATTTGCTCACTGGGAGAACGCTTCCCTATTTCCACTCTCAGAAATACCTACAGGAACCACCATCATCGAATATAACCATTTACTCCTCAGTATCTATCCAAAGAACTAAAATCAGCATACAACTGTGACACATGCCTCTCCATGTTTATAGTAGCACTATTCACTATTGTGAATTATCATATGAATTACCAATTTATGGAACCAGTCTAGGTATGGATCTATAGATGAATGGATAAAGGAAATGTGATATACAGACACAATGGAATTTAATTCAGGCATAAAGAATCACAAAATTATGTCATTTGTAGGGAAATGGATGAAACTGGAGAACACTGTGTTAGACAAAATAAGGTAGACTCAGAAAATCAAGAACCATGTTTTTTCTCAAATGTGGAATTTAGCAAGAAAAATGCGATCTTCTGAAAATAGAAGGAAGAGCAGTAAGGGAGAGTAGTAAGGAAGAGCAGTAAGGTAGAGAAAGGGAATGAGGAAATGAAGGAAGGGAAGACAAGGGGGTACTAAGTATTTAAATCTATCACATTTTGCAAGGTACATGGGCTTGGGTTGTAGCTCTGGGGTGGAGTTCTTGCCTTGCATATATGAGGCACTGGGTTTGATCCTCAGCACCACATAAAAATAAATAAAATAAAGGTGTTGTGTTCATCTACAACTAAAAAAAATTTATAAGGTACATATA